CCTGAGGCAAACATGAAGACAGGCTTTCTTTATTGATTAGCCAAATTGTCTAGCCTTCTTGTTTTGTCTCCTCATTGGCAATTAAGAGAGAAATCCATTGAGGGAGTGGTGGCAGTGAACTTTCCCCTCTGATAGAAATAACCGGGCCCCTTAGTTAATTTGTGAAATTGTTCTGTATCGACCTCACTTTGAAGCAGGATTTCATCCTATGGCCCCATTAGTAATACATATACATCTTTCTCTTAGGAAGCAGGGTCTTTCTAACCATAGTATCTTTTGTTTCCTATTTACAATCCTAATCCTATCATCAATTCCAGTAATCTTTCCTGCACCATGAGCTGTCATTGTCTTGAGGGAGAACCTGGGTGGGTTTTATTATGTTTTTTTGGTTTGTTTTGTTTTTTAACCAAGATAATTAATATTAAAACAAGGAATAACAATCTAACAATCTAACAATCTAACCTTTGAGGTACAGGGGAGGCCAAATCTTCATGTGTTTTTAACATCCAGACAGTAAAGAGGCCACAATGTTCCCCAGCCTGAAACTAAGACTGAACCTAAAACAGAACCCGCAGATCATTTTGATGACTCGATTAAACTATGGGGATTAGATTTCTACAACCTAAAATATGATTGTGCAGGTTAGGATAATGATTGTTTCTTCCAGAACACGGCATTTGGATGTTTCCTTACTTCTTTGACTCCTTTTGTGTCTGAGCAATGGAAAAACTACACTTGGCTAATGAGAAATGAAGCATTTCCTCACCTCTTCCCCAGTAATCACTTATCTAAACCCCGACCCTAAATGAATGCATTGATCTTTTACCTCCATCTTTCCCATCTCTGTTTTATCTCATGGAAGGCCAGGACTCGCTTGTCCTTCTTAATGTGAAAGTGATATTTTAGACTTGGAACCATTTAGATAAATAATTGGGATTGTTCATAGCTTATGTCACTATGACTTCACTGCAACTGCGTGATGAAGGGCAAAAGAACTTGGCTGGGGCAGAGGGGATGCCCTGGCCTTGGGGCACTAGGCTTGGCTTTGGAGCATCCTCCAGATCTGGCAGCTCTTCCCCCTCTTATCTTATTCAGTTTTGTGTGTTGATGATTCACTCTCCTACCGTGTATGAGTTAAGTGCAAAAATTTTGTCTTTAAAATAATCCTTGAGATTTGGTAAACGGAGGTGCCAGGGAAGCTCTGTGTGAGCAGAAGTATGATTTAGCATCTGTTCTCCTTGTTAGAAAGTGCCCCGTTGCACTTGGGGTGCCAAGGAGGATTTTGGCAGGGGGGAAAGGTTTGACTCACCCAGGTGTCATCCCCATCAGCACGGAGGATTTACAAACCTGGCATCCTCTCCTTCCATCTCCACATCACAGCACAGAGTGAAACGCAGTGACACGAAAGATTAGTCTTCATTCGGTAAAGGAATTGCCAAATTAAATGATGACAGATGGAAAAACTAAAGGGCACGGTGTCAGGGGTCTGCCCATAGCCCTGGGCTTTAGGAAGAGGTAAATACACAGATCTCAGCTGGTGCTGCTGGAGGTACGTGTCCGGCGGAAAGCCGGCGCTCGGACTGTGCCCAATCGATACCTGCTATCGAAGGGAGCAGCGCACAGCGTTAGGGCCAACCCAGTGTTATTAGAAAATGATATATTGCACATTAGGATGGATAATTCATGTCGCCTTCATCGGCTCAGACCGTCGCGAAAATCCATAAATCATTTTCTCGTTCATGTATCGCCTAAGTGCGATTTGTCACTCGGCATTAGCGGGAGGGCGGCCGCCGATCCCTGCCGCTTCCCAGGCGCTGCTCGGAGACCCAAAATGGAGACCCGGCTGCGCTCGGAATCGCGGGGGCAGCCCGGATCCCGGCGGGAGGCGGCTCCCCCCCGCCTATACACGTGTGTGGATATGGATATAAATATGTGCATGTTCCCGCGGGGCTGCTGCCCCCCGCATCACGCCGTCTCTGCGGGCGCCTCGCGTGGGTGTCGACCCCCGAGCGCGGAGATGTGTCCCCCTCCATGCCACCACCACCTTCGGGGCTTCCTCCGGCCCGCAGAGGCGGACACGGGCACGGGCACGGGCGGGCTCGGTCTCCCGGGTTTCGCCCGCTGCGCCCGCGTTCCTCGAAGGCAGGAGAGGCGGCCGCACCGGGGGCTCCGGCGGCGGGGAGAGAAGCCAGGCTAGAGCCGGGCTGCCCCGGGTCGCGTTCAGTGCCGGGCAGCGGCCGCTCCCCTATGGGCACCCACCGGTCCCCCAGGCAGGAGAGGCGCGATCTCCGCTGTCCGCGCCTGGAGCCGGCGGCAGCGGACGGGCAGGTGAGCGGCGGCGCTTCTGCACGGAAAGGGAAGGCAGCGAGGTCCCCGTCCGCATCCAGCGGGCAGCCGCAGCAGCCGGGGGATTCTGACGAAATTTTTCAAATTTTCTGGAAAACACCCAGCGGAATGGCCCCGCCGACTGTGCCCCGCGCTGCCACAGAGCGCAGGGGTGGGTAGGGAGCCACCCCGAAGGATGCAGTTTGGGGGAGAGGAGGCATCTCCCTGCCCGCCGCGCCGGCTGCCGCTTCCCTGTGCGCCCCTCAAGGGGCGAGGCAATGCCGCCTGCCGCAGGGCTGTGCGGTCGGGCCCGGTGCGGTGCCGGTGCGGGCCCGGTGCGGTGCCGGTGCGGAGCGGAGCGAGCTGTGCGCGCCCCGGGGGCGGAGGCGGCGGCGGTGCTGCCGGGTGCAGTGCGGCGCTGGGGGCGCTGGGGGGCGCCCGCCGCCCGCCAGAGCGGCCGGGCCGGGGGAAGGGAGGGGGGATCAGGCTTTGGACAGCGAGGGATGGTTGGGATGGCAAGGCACATCCAAGGCCAGCTGGCTCCAACCCCTCCTGCCATGGGCAGGGACATCTTCCGCTAGGCCGGGTTGCTGCAAGCCCCGTCTAGCCTGGCCTTGAAAACTTCCAAGGATGGGGCGTCCATAGCTTCTCGGGGCAACCTCGCCATCCTAATGTGGATTCCTGCGTTTCCACGCACACATTGAGATGTGTGGACAGAGCCGCTGCTGAGTGATGGATTAGAGATGGGGTTAGAGCAGGAGCTGCACGTCCCTGCTCTGTGTTGCTCTTGAAAAACAGTAACTTTCAAGGGGGGATACTCCCCACGAGAATTTTAAGTACTTTATTCTTTTACTCTATTAATTTGGTAGCCTTATGGACGTGGATCTCTCAGCCAGCACCGACAGCGTTTCCCTTGGATTCCTGTGCTTCTCCCTGACAGACCCCCCCCCACTCCAGGGATATCCGCCCCACCACCCTGAGTACCCAATGACAGAGTTCTCCCGTTGTCCCTCTTCCACCGTGCCTGGCGGTCTCCTGTTACACTAGTGGAAATTCCAAAATGGAAATAGGAAAATACTGGCGCAGGCTCGCGGTGCTTTAAATTGGCCGGAGCTGGAAACACCGCACGGAGGGAGTATGGAAAGTTGCACTCTCTCCACTGTGGAACACACCGAGGGGCGGGGAAGGGGGGAGAAGGAACAACAGCCATCACCCCAAGTTTCCCTTTGTTTACACGCTTTTCTCTAAAAGCTTTCCAGCGAAGGAAAGTTGGCTGGGTGGAAACTCCCTCTCCAAGGAGCGGGGCTTGTTGACGTTCACCCGGGTGCGCGTGTGTGTGCGTGCGCGCCAGGGATGAGCGGCGATCTCCCCATCCAGCAGCAGCAGCAGCGGCGGCGGGGGCAGGGGAAGCATCGCCCCGCGAGGGGAGCGAGGCAGGGATTGGGGGAAGGAAGCAGGGATTGAGGGAAGGAGGCAGGGAACGAGGGAGCGAGGCAGAGATCCCCGGGCGCTCGGCGGCACCGGAGCGCTCTGCCCGCCGTGCCCGCCCAGCCCGCGCGCGGCTCGGCTGTGACGCAGCGCACCCGACGCGCGACGCGGCCAATGGGACGCCGCCCCCGGGGGCGGTGCTGGGCGCTGATTGGTTGGCAGGAGCCGGGCGCTGCGCAAAAACAGCGCAGCCGAGCGCTGCCCGCTCAGAAACTGCTGGCAGAGATCGGAGCAGCCGGGCCGGGAGCGGAGCCGGGACGGGAAACCAACAGCAGCAGCAGCACACCACAGATACAGGGGCTAGACGCGAAAGCAGCAAGAGAGGAAAAAAAAAAAAATCCCCACCTCGATCGGCACCGCCGTAAAAGCAGAGTGATGGTGATGATGAACATACTCATAGCAATAAGAGAAGAAAATGAAAGACCTTTAACAGAAGAGAGAAAAATCTAAAATCCTTATATTAAAAAAAAAAGAAAAAAGAGGAAATCCCAGGGACATCAGGGAATGAAAGTTTTGGGTAGCTAAGCAGCTCTCTGCCTTTTTTTTTTTTTTATATATGAAATCTTTTTGCGGGTGATTTTTTAATTTTTTTTTTTTTTTTTAATTTCGCTGTTTTCTGCCTTTTCCTTGCATCCAAAGAGGGCATGTCCACCGGCTGTTCCAGCAGCATCTACCCTCCAACTCCCACCAGGAAGACAAACCGAGGACAATCTTGAAATACAAAAATTTCCTCCTTGGGATTTGCTGCTGCTGCTGTCTCCGCCGCCACTGCTGCTGCCGCGGTGCAGTGCCAAGACTCTCGGAATAAATAAAAGAGGGCTACTGTGTGTCTCTAGCTACAGCCGGCTAATAGCTATTTTAGTTGGCCGTATATTTCGAAGATCACAGATGAAGTGGGGACGCCTGTCTTCTTCGTTTGGTCAGCGTGTGAAACAATAATACCCGTAACAAAAAGGAGGGAGATGGGGGAGAAAAAAAATCCTAACATGAATCAGAAGAAATAGTATCTAGCACCCCCCCCCC